CAACTTTTTAGATTAATATAATCTTATTTCTGAATTTGTAATACATTCTCAAATACAATTAAATGTATTACAAAATTATAAATACATTAATTTAATTCTATATTTTGTAATTATACTTTTAAATATGAAAATAATATGAAATTATGCATCATCGATCAGTAACTGTCGCTGTGAGTTTCTTGCTAGGCAATTACTTTTGCAGTGATGCTAAATTAATTGCTAAATTCCTTGGGCCAGCTTGTTTATAATCTTACCATTTATAAGCATTCTAGAACTAAGGACACATTTCATTAAAAATTAATCTTTGGAGCGAATTACATAATAAATTTGTAGTTGCTATATTTATTTATATTTGTTTTATTTTTTTTTTATACTTATACATTCTGTTAAAATTCATTGACTATATTGGAAACAAATTTTTTAATTTTTGTTTAAACAGTAACATATTTATTAGTGTAGTCAGATTTAGAATAAAATATTAAAAGTGTATCTAAAAGTATAAAATTTAAATTTTTATTAAATTCAAATATATAATTTTATTAAATTAAAAATAGCTTTTCCTATGGCAACGTTGGGGAATAATCCACAAAGTACTAGCGTAACAACTACCACGACAACGACAAATGCGCAAAGAATCACGGTGGGAAACGCTAGCATAAGAGATGGCATTCAACGACTGGCGACACAAACTGTCACAGTCAAACAAGGCGATTCCGTCCAGAGAATAGCGGTACCTAGTTTTGCGCAACTGGTTCAAACCTCTACCGGCAGACACTTTATTCTGACGTCGAGTCAACAGAATACTAACACAGGTTTGTGTCCGATTACGATTTTTACAATTATTTTCATAAACTTAAGCTTGTTGGCAGTGACAGATAGAAAAAAGTAACACATTTTGTATTGTTAGTTTCGTTTCCAGTCATGACATCGAGCGGATCGCGTTTTACGGTGTTGTCTAAATCAATAATGGGTTTGGCCACATCGGGTGCTACGACGGTGAACAAGGTTGTCAGCGGAGTAGTAACAACGCCAAGTGGTCGACCCATCATGAGGGTACCTCCTCTGAACGTAACAGCAGCGCAATCATCACCAAGCGGAAACAACAGCCAACAGACAATTAGCCAGCAACAACCGCAATCGATACGTGGTATTGTTACCAGACAAGCTCAGAAAGAGATCGCGAAAGTGCAGAACAAGGAACAGCCCAAATCCGAATTTTATTTGGTAATTGAATGTAGATATCTCAGTAATTTACTTGATTCTCATTTTTCTTCGTTCGTTTTTTCTTTTTATTTTTGTAAAAAAATAAAGTAATTTTATCTAATGAATTTTACATTTAAATGTTAAAATTGTTCTATTAAGTGCTTATTTAAATTTTTTTATAGAAAATTTTAATTCTATTATTTTTTAGCCTCAATTGGAAGAGGAAAGGAGACAGAGAAGACAAAACAAATTGCATCTTCTCGCAGACATCAATGAACGAAGATGCGCGGCGTGTCCACTTTACGGTGAAGATCTGTTTATGGCTTTGAGAATCGGCAAACCTGCGACAGCTTGTCGTTGGCATGATGGTTGGGTGCATTGTTCAAAGACTCAAGAAAAGATTCGTACTCGGAAAGAGTTTTTTTCACACACGGAAGCACTTGCGGAAGCTATCAAAAGCACGGAGCAGATTGTTGAGGAACTCAAAGAGGTCTTTGAAAGGTTAATATCTGATATAATTTATAAATATATATAATCAATGTATAGAAAATAATTTTATAATAGTAATACTCAAATATATAAGCTTAAAAAAATTAAAATTTTATTAAAGTGATGATTGTTTAGAATTAAGCGAAAAATAAGATTATGCAATCTTTGCTATTTAGATCATTTTTTCTGGAATTAAGTTTTTTTTTGTTTTTTAATATTCGTGCAGATATGTAGTCTACGTGCCGGCTGTACGCGCTCCAGTCCCTCGATTCCATGTGTCTCATCCGCCGCCGTACAAATTATGGAATGAATGTCGTCTATGGACTGAATTACAGCAACAAATATCGCCGAAATTATCTCTCTTCCATCCAATTTCGTGCCACATGCTCACACAGTTCCCCGACCCCAGACTGATCCAGTACGATTGCGGCAAATTGCAGTCGCTGGATCGTCTGTTGAGAAAGCTGAAGTCTGAAAGTCATCGAGTCCTCATATTCACGCAGATGACTAGAATGCTGGACGTATTAGAAGCCTTTTTGAATTTCCATGGACACATATATCTGCGACTAGATGGTACAACTAGAGTGGATCAACGTCAGGTAATTTGACCTATTAACAAGATACTAAATATTAGAATTTGTTGCATAAAAATTTAAACTCTTAAATTATTGATTTTTTGGGGATTTTTAATACGAGTATTGAAAGCGTATTAATGTTTTGCTAGTTTTTAAAACATATAATGATTAACTTTAGAAGCGTAATAAGAAATGTAAAATATTTTGTGTAACACATTTTTGTTGTGAGATTAAGAAAAAAAAATGATCGTTAATGAGAATTATGATTTCAGATTTTGATGGAAAGGTTCAACGGCGATAAGCGAATATTTTGTTTTATCCTGTCGACAAGATCTGGTGGTGTTGGTGTGAATTTGACGGGAGCGGACACAGTGATATTTTATGATAGTGATTGGAATCCTACAATGGATGCCCAGGCGCAAGACAGATGCCACAGAATAGGACAAACGCGGGACGTACATATCTACAGGTACACGATGCGAACTATAATATAATATAAATATAAATATTAGGTTCAAATATAAATATTCGCGTAGCGAGATACAGATTACTAAAGCTATCTATTGGAAAAATAATGGATTTCTTTTTACTACACCTAATATAAAGACGAAATGACTAAATAGCTTTAAAAATTCAAAATATTTTATTAATTTGAAAATATTTAATTGCAAAAATAGCAAAAAATTAGCATGTTTGACAGCGAGATAATATACAGTACAATGATTTATCTTTCAGATTAGTCAGTGAGAAAACTGTTGAAGAAAACATTTTGAAGAAGGCAAATCAGAAACGATTGCTAGGAGATCTCGCTATTGAAGGCGGCAATTTCACCACGGCGTATTTCAAAAGTGTAAGTGCTTTAATAAGAACTAAATAAATTATACTACTATTTATTAGTATTTATTAATCAGAAATATATAATTTTCTTTCATAAGAGATGTTCTTTCATAAGAAATTATTTTTCATACAGGAATTTCTTTTATTTATCGCATTATTATTTAAAATTTTTTTAATTATAACATTTTACATTTAACATTAAAATTAAATAAATATATGATATTTGCCGAAAAATTATGTTTTGGATTAACAAGACACATCAATATTTTTATCGATATTTCTGATTCCTTGAAGTAATTCCATTTACTTTTTGTGTAACAATAAGATTATTTGCAGTCTACTATTCAAGACCTGTTTAACATCGATCAAACTGAGAATGATGCGTCAGCGCGAATGGCTGAAGTGCTCGAACAGAATCGAGATCGAGAGAAGACTTACAGCAAGGACATGACAGCGGGACCATTTCAAAGTGGTTTTTCAGGACAGCATACGGAGGAAAAGGCAGCGATGGGTGCTCTTGAGAGCGCTCTCGCTGCTGCTGAAGAAGATCTTGATGTTCTGGCTGCAAAGACTGCGAAAGCAGAAGCTGTCGCCGATCTCGCTGAATTCGATGAAAACATTCCGCTGGAAGAAGCTGATAAAGACGACACGCAAGTTAGCAAGGCAGAACAGGAAGTTCAGAATCTGATTGCTCAGGTAGATTGAATGTTTTTTAAAATCATTGGATTAGTTAGAAATTGTCTTGATTTTTATTCTCCTTTTGTCAATTGTGTCATTTAACTTTTATGTCACTTGTCACATAATCTTTATGTTAAATTTTCGATTAATGGTTCTGTAATATTCCATTTAGCTGACTCCAATAGAACGATATGCGATGAAGTTCGTCGAGGAATCCGAAGGTGCGTTCTCCGCGGCACAACTGGCTGCAGCCGAACGGGAACTCGAGGAGCAGAAGAAGGAGTGGGAGTTGGACCGATTGCGGGCATTGCGCGAGGAGGAGGAACGGCGTATGCGGCTCGCCGACGACGATGAGAAGCCACTGACATTTGCAGGCGATTAGTTAATAAGAGGCTAATGGTACCAAGTAGAAGAAGTTTGCGTAGACGTGGCGGTAATAGGAGACGCGCGCGCGATTTGTCGTCGGAAAGCGAAAACGAAACTACTAGCACCGAATCGGATTCGGATTCGGAATCACAGGAGGAGGACGTGGTTGAGGATAGTCTTGACGAGGAATCAAGTCACACAGAGAGTCAAAGTCAAGGGGATGAGGGTGAAGAGGAGGAAGGAGAGGAAGGCGAAGAGAAAGATGAGAGCGACGAGGAGGAGGAAGAAGAGCAGGAGACCGGCGAAGGGAACGAAGATGGAAGGGCGAATAATCACGATGATTCCGAACGTCGAGGGGGTTTCTCGAGACGGAAGGGTCGTCTGGCAGGCTCAAGTTCCCGTAGTCGAAATCATTTTGATTTGAACAGTCCACGTACTAGATCGCGTGGGAATGTTAAGATCAATCTCTGGACTTTGGACGTGAGTCCTATCCTGCCCGGTATAAAACCAAATTTTCGCCGGAAACGTAAAAAATTTCATCGCGCGAAGTCGGAGGAAAATCGTCTCGAAACCTTCTCATCAGTTGACGTATGTCGTAAAAGAAGCATTCGAATTAACACAAGCGCCAAGATATCTGTCAATTCCAATCAGAATACAAAACTCGAAATCATCGAGATAAAGGAAACTGATCGAAATTTATCGAAAGATAAGCGAGATTTGAAGGATGGTTGCGATCTCGCATCATCCTCGATTGATTCAAACAGTGTGGACCGATGTATTGCTGATTTTAATACGGAGCAATCTGTTGGTGATCACTTGGATTCGACATTAATCGTTAAAACACAATCGAACAGAAAGTTGGAACTGGCTTCTGATGTAGTGGACAGTCAAAATGTAAAAAAAGAAAAAGAAAGAAATGACGATAAAAATACGAACGGCACTAATTTAATTGCGGTTTGCTCCGTTCAGGTGACGCGGTGCTCACATAAAGTTATGTCCACGACCTACAGAAAGCTTGAGCCCGAAGTAAATCGTAACGAGGATGCGGAGAATCTCGACGTAAATGTCAGCGTGAGGGATTCTCGATCTTCTTCGAGCACGATGCAACCAGATGCGTCTTTGAAACGCTCGAAGGAGACAGTGACCAAATCCAAGTTAGAATTCAGCGCGTCAGCTAATTCTTTGTGCAACAACGTGCGAGGGAAATTGACCGCTGCCGCGCCGAGAGAATTGGACAGAAGCGTCGAGTCACCCTCTAATCGTTCGGCTCCTCTTTTACGATCGAAAACGTTACGAAATGAAAGTCCTGACACGACCGACACTGTCTCTAAACCTGTCGCGATATCCCGCGTTTCTACCGTGCAGAGAAATTCCAAGATTAATGTAAATACTGATGAAGCTCGTAGTAATGCGGTCGATGATAAGGACAAGGACAATAGCGATGAAGTTAATGATGGTACCGAGTCAGCGATATCCCTGGTGATGCAAAAATCGGATCAAAAATTTAATTTGAAAAGCGAAAATTCAGACACTTTATCGCAAGTATCGGAAAAAGGAATAAGTGACGCGGCATCGAATGTGCCCAATTCTTTAGTACCCTCGGTAAAAAGTGAATTTAATTCAAGTGAATCTAAATGCAAAATACGAAAAGTAGAAAACATAGTTCAGCGAAGCGTAATAACTCGTAGCTCAAAAATTTCCTCAACTGTCAATCATTTAGAAGAAAATAAGACACGATTGATGAACGATAAGATTGATTCGAAAGTATCGGAGCATTCGCAAATGAAAACGGGTCAGGGAATTCGAAGAAGCGACAATTTAATTGCGGAACAGAGCAGGATTACGCGATCAACAAGTCACTCAAGGACACCTCCACCTAGTAATGACGAGACGATGACGCAACTTTCATCAAAGTTGAAGCGACGCTCGGATACTCCTCTTCCGCGACCGATCACAAGATCCACCGTGAATTTTCCTGCAAGACTCGATACGGTACTACCCAGTCGAGTTGAAAAGTATACGACACGGAATTCGAAGCAGTATCAAGACAATGGCCTACCGAATTCTCCGATGCCATTCAGACGTAGTAGATCGATACCGCTAATGAAACCGCGGGACTCGAAGGAAGGTTCGACGACAGTCGTCTCGACAAAACGACCAGACACGCCTCGACCTAACATACCGGCCGGTCACAACAATGATCAGGTACATAGGGTGACGCGCTCGGGATTGCTCTTGAATTCCACCCTGTCGATGAAGTCAACATCATCACCATTATCTTCTCTCGCTTCAGCATTTAAAACAAATGTCAAGCGGGTACGAACTCCATCAATCAGCAGTGAGAACGAAAACACTGCGAGTGAAAATACTGGAAGCTTGACGTCGCAGCCCTACGAGAAGCCTCAAAGAACGGCCAAGGTTGTAGCCATTCTCACTTTGGACACGAGGAGTACCAGTAGCAAGACCTCATCAAGTCAGTCCAAATCCAATGTTAATTGCGAAACGAAAATTCAGGATAAGGAGTTATCCATGTCAGACACGCTGAGGGAACAAGAGTCCAATCACGAGGACTGCAACTCGTCTGACGTAAAGTCCAGGAGGTTGCGTAAGGAAACGAAGCGCGCCAAAACTATATCAAATTCATTGGAAGACGAGGATGGTTCTAATGATGTTAACGATGAAGATCTGCAGAAGAGATTTCGTTCCTCGCAGATTTCCCCCTCGCCCTCCTCCTCCGTCACAACGACGCGATCCGAAAAACTGAAGAGCACTACAATATCTTGAGCCACGCTGAAGCATCATTGCGGTAATCATCAACAATACGAGCTATTCCATTGGGAATATAATTGTTATTCGATCAAGCAGTCAAATATATCTACTATTGTGTCTGCTACTCAATCCGCCTATTATGTGCGTGATACCCGGGTTTATGCTTAGCATTTGTCGCATGATAATTCTTGATGTTTTTTTTCAATAATATTCTGTTAATATAAAACATACGATGAAAGTCTTCAGTATATTGTGCATTAATTCTATAACATCGAAAAGAAATAAGAAATATAATCTTATTCTCTTAAGAACTAAAGTAAAAGATTAAATATTTATTTCGTGCATATAGATCTGAAGATGGATCTTTCCATAAGTAAGGACAAAAGATCTCTGATTGATATATTATAAAAAATATACATAAAAGAATTTTTTTATATAAGTAATTAAGAATAAAATTTAAAACTTAATTTAAAGAGAAAGACAAAATTATTGTGTAATCAATGAATAGTGTAAAAATAAAATATTGTCTTTTTTTCTTTGCTTGAAAATTTATGGTGGACTTACAGAAGTACACATATTTTAATTTGATGAGTTTACTAAATTTTTGTTATTTGTTATAGATTTTTTATTTAATTATATATTAAAGCTGATTTTTTATAGAGAAACAAAACATAATTAAGTATAAGTGAGAAATTGTTATTTAATAGTCGAGTTAATGATAAACATTATTAAGAGAATTCTAATAAAGGAATAACATAAGTAAAAAGTTTCATGGGATAAATTCTAATCTAAACCTGGTTTGTAGAAACGCCTGTAATTAATCGCGCGTTGATGACGCGTTTTTTGCCCGTACTTATCCTATATTTATCGCTCAGTGACTGTTTGATTCTCCCTTCAGAATAATTACGTGCGGTTATTATAGAAAATAGAGAGAAAAAGAAAGAGAATTCTATAAGGAACAGATACAATGAGGAAAATTTTAGCTCTAACATTACATATGAGAAAAATTACATTAGAGATTTTAAATGTGAAAGAAAAAGATAATTTAGGAAGAAAAAATTTATGTAAGAACGACGAAAAGAAGAAGAAATTTTATTGGAAAAAATTATCGATATTCCATAAGAAAGAAATGAAACGGAATCAAATAGACATGTTTAGCGTTAATGTGGGGCACGAGTACGCATCCTCTTGTACATAATCACAGTATAATTATAATAAACAATGTATTTCCTCCGGGTTGTACCGGATAGTACACGTGTAATATTTGTAGCGTTGTAAATTGTACTCCGACTCGCCGCCCCCTCTTCATCACATTTTATTTTATTCGTTGTAAAGATATCATGAATCTGTTTCTCCTGGCTGCACTTTCCGCGATCTATCTTGGTCTCTTATTTTTCTGCAAATATGTTTCATTAAATTTAGAATGCAGAACGGGAAAGTGCAGACGATAAGAGGCAGATTTTCAGTCAAGTATGTCTAGCGATTTATATAAACGGCGTAATGAGCGAAATGGACGAGTGTATTATATTAGAAATGAGGATCGAACTCTGATCTCAATCAAGCGGTTCTCTAGTATGCTAAGCTATTCATACACGTATATTGACAGGCGTCACGAGCAAAAAACGTGATTAAAAAAATAATACAAAGAGTACAGTATATTAAGTACATAGTTTGATTCTATTTTCGCTATTTCACGGTAATTTGATTTGAATTTTACTTGAATCTGGAAAAGGTTTATATAATAATAATTTATTTAAAGTAATGAACGATTGGTACTCCCGAAAAGGAAGTATCGAGGCAGCCAAAGTGAGAAAAAGTTTTATTCGTGCCGCCTTAAGCTACATAATTTACAGGTCGATGACCTGATTATTATATTATATATACATACTACATGTATATGTAATATATATGTTATATATATTATTGTGTATGGTAAGGATGTCCTTCCTTCGCTCTTTCCACTTGCCTCCTCCCGCCACATACACTCACACACATTCACACAGTAATAATTAAGTTGCGTGCCTGTATTTTGTATGATCGAGCGAGAGTTCGAAGAAGAAAAAAAAATAAACGAGATATTCCTTACTATATCGAAATGTGTACCCTTATTTCTTGATGCGTTTCCAAGTCTGTGTCGATCAAAGGTTCAGTTCCGTTTTGGTGTCAAATCATTCTCAGCTCAATGTGCTTGTTTATATTTAATCGCGATTTAACGCGAAGAACGACTTTTTCCTTTCGATGTCAGTTTGGTGTGGCAAGGCTATCATGACCGCACATTTTTCGAGAAGATATATATGTACTTTAGTAGGCGTAAAAAGAAAAGAGAGAAAAAGAGCTCCAATAAAATTGTTCCATTAAAATGGCACCAAAACACTGCCTTTGCCATTCCAAACTTGGAGTCCGCAGCAAGATATGAGCAGGCACATGAGTGAGATCATCATACTGCGTCTTGTGCATTATATATGTATCTTTCGATTTATACATGTATATAATGTTTGTAAAAAAGATTGTGAATACACGCAGTAATAGATATAAAGGAATATATCGTAAAGAACTCTTTCTCAGGATATTTAGAATGAGAGGAACGAGAACCTTTGAACGTCTACGGATGTCCCAGCCTTAATTTTTTGCAATGAGTTTTTTTTGTCCACGTTTTAAGTTCACGTTTTCTAGGAGAAGTTAAGGAAATTAGATTTGACATTTAATATTTTGGAAATTAAATTTCGAATTAAAACTCTCAGAAAGTAAGATCAATCTGAGTAAATATATTTGAATTTATTTTGAATTTACAATTTTTAATTTAAAATTTATTAATTGAATAACGCGAAAGATTTTATATCTCGATGTTATTATATAATTGAAAGTTTCTTGATTTTATAATTATGTATTTCTTGATCTCTTTAGAACTGGACAAAAATATCGGGAAAAATAGTATCGCTCCTTTCTCTCTTTCTTTATTTTCATTATTTGGAAGTTTATTCGTTAGGTCCGTCTTTCTGTAGTCTCAAAATTATTTATTATATTTTTTGTTATTTGTGCGCAGACACACACATCATATTAATTACTGGAAATTTTAATTTTATTTATGATTTAAATATGGAATTTTCACGAAAATTTTAGCTTTATTGATAATTGAAAAAAAGTACTCTAAAAGTCATATCAATAGCACATTGCAAACTTTGGCGAGTACAGAGACGGACTTCATATGAGAGCGAAAATTCTGTCATAAATCGCATGATATCTCACGTATGATTTTAACATCTTGCAGATTTGGTTATCGGAACACACGATGGAGCAAATGCCAGTAAGTGCAAATATAATATATTTTTCCTTTATTGCAAACCTACAAATAAATTAAGTAAAGGATGCTTATCCATTTATTCGTCATTCTGTAATTTGCATTATGATAATTAATATATTTTATTAATCTTTGATTTATTATGCACTATATAAGAAAAAGAACAATTTTATTGAATAATTTTATACAACTTTGTAATAAAAATAGAGGAAAGTAAAAGTGCAATTTTCTCAATTGATAATGAAGTGCAATAGAGGCTTGAATTGTCGAACTTGTTCTCTGAAGAATAATTGAATCTTCTTTTAGATGTGGTGTCCACCAACACCTCCTACAACGGATAACGATGTATATATCGATTATTCTCTTGGATTTTTATATGAAAATATCCCCATGACAGAGGCTCAACTGCCGCCGATTTACGTGAAGAAGGATCGGAACAGAAGCAGAATCGATATCACTGATGATAGTGAGTCAATTTGTAGATGATACAAATTCTTTTCTTTAAATAAATGAATGGCTAATAAAATTTAAAAAGCCTGAAAGAGCCTATACGGATATTAGTGTCAATTTATTGTAATAACATTTACTTAAACAACATATATAACAATACTAGACCTTGTAAATTTAATATTATATATATTCTAATATCATCATTATATTGAATATAAAAACAGCACTGAAGACAATTAAAAATGTCAGTCGAAACATTAGCGAGTTATATTTGTTGAGTATACAAATTTCATTACAATAAATTGACATTGCGTACTAATATCCATATGGGTTCTTTCTAACTTTTTAAATTGATTTATTAGTTGATTTATTCTCAGAGTCGGCATATACAGTACTTTCCATAAATTTGGAAACACATAAAAGTGTGTAATTTAAGGAAAATACGTAATAAAATTGATTTTGGTTTGTAAATAATTATTCAATTGAAAAAAAGACGAAATAAAATACATTGAAAAAAAGACGAAATAAAATACATGCATACATTATCTATAATAACATGCTATTAAAATATGGAATTTTAATTAAAATTCGATTCATACGAAATCTGATTCTTCGGAGCCATTTTACAATTTTTAACGGAGTCTGAAATCAACTTGCGACTCAAACAGTTTACCATTTTTATGGAAACCGTTAATTAAACGATCTATGATGTATATATACGTATGCAAATATGACGTTGCAAAACAAGTGATAATATACAAACAATAGATCAAAGCGCGAAATTCAACTTTGAGTTATTAAATGCTTGTTTGACACATTTTCTGCATGTACAAGCTTATAGATATTCTAAATAAAAATATTTATCGCTATTTAGACTTCTTATGACATATTTAAACCAAAAAGATATAGATCACAGTTGCATAAATTTTTCTGTACAACGTAGGGTGTTTTCAAACTTATTGGTACTATCTTATTTTTAAATATTAATTAATCTGAAGTATCCGATATGTATATTTTAAAGATACTTAAGAGTAAAAGTTTCTATCTTGTCACTTGTTATACAAATAGTGATGAGTGTAATTGCAATAAATATGAAGAAAATGAAGCAACTCTTGGCTAAATTGCTTATATTTTTGAAGCTTTAATTACAGAATATCTATATATTAAGCATGCACATGATAGACAAAATGTCAATCGATTGTTGTGTTGTTTATGAAAAACAATAAAATTATATCGTATTGGTTTGCACGGTTATACACCAAGAATTTTTTATAAATTCAAAAGTCGTCCAATATTTCATCTATACGTGCTCTTGTTCTTTTTAAGATTTGTTCTCTGTCCTTGCCCATACAAAAGCGTAAAACAATAAGATGTAAGCAGTAGTAAGCGAATCGGCCAATTATTGTAGAGAACATTATTGACTTACGTTTTCTACTGTGAATCGCTTATTACTTATGTTTTACTGCCCTATATTTTTCTATATTTCTGGCTTATGATTTTTCTCTCCATTAATGTCTATCTTTATATCTTCTTTCATTCGATCAATTTAATCATTACTTTCTTTATAGGTTGTCGACCGACGAAAATGATGCGCCATAAGGAGGAGTCCGTGTTAGCGCCAAGGTCGCTCTTTGATCGGCCGTCACCGGCATTGATGAAGATGCGTCGCGACATGAAGCTGTATAAATATCGTGCGATTGTACGTCCCCCTATGCCGGTCTTGAAGACCTCGTCACACGTAACGAAAACCTCACCGGAACCGGATCAAGCTATGGATTGGTTGGTCTACGAGGAATGGGGCTTGTTACATTCCATCCAAAACTATCAGAACTTACCACTAAACACGATGATTCTCTCGCCCGGTCATACGCCTAATTGGGATATGGTTGCCGATTCCATCAACAATGGCGCACGTTTATACAGATCACCCAAGCATTGCAGAAACAGATACGAATCTGTGATAATACCCAGGGAGGAGGGTAAACTACTGTACGACACCGCGCCGAAGAAACAGAAAAAGCAGAAGACGAGTGTTTACAAAACGCTGCCAGTCTCTGAGGTAACTGTTATAATATTGATGTATACGATAGCATCAAAGTATTCTATGTATTTCTAATTGCTTACAGATTATTAAAAAAAGTTAATCAAGCTCATGTTAAATAACAAAACAAAGTCAAATTAAAACGAACAATATAAGATATCAAAAGGTCATGTTTGTTTAAAAATATAGAAATTCATTTAAAATGATTAAACGTTTTGAGTGATATATAAATATATAATATTATCTTTATTTTGCTATTTTTTCAGCAACAAAGCAAGAGCAACAGAATAATGAGAACATCGCAATTACATAATCAAGACAGAAATGGCTCCTTTACGTCGACTGGCAATCAGAGATATGAAATCATGAAGTCAGTTTCTAACAAGCGAACGCCTACCGTAAAACCAACATCCATCGTAAATTCAATGATGAGGAATAATCCGAACGTTGATGTTCTGGCTACCGATTACAAAATACTGGTCGATAATCCATCAACACCGATTGAAATTGCTACGCGACGTGCTGATAGGATTAAACTAGAGAAGCTAAATAAAGCAGTTAGTATAAGAAACAATCACTATTATTTATTACTACTTTAAATCTCAACTAACACAATTTTTGCAATTTGTCAAATTTTTTAGTAACTATTATTCGACTTCACAATAATTTTTATTGGAATGCTAAATTTGCGTTACACTTTTTAACGTGCATGACCACATTATGCAAGAAACTTTTTTATTGAGAATGACTGGCATTTATACATTGGTTTATCCATCAATTGAACATTATCAAACATCTTGTTTTTTGGACTTTTGTTGAGAACTTGCACTATTGCTAGTAACAAGATAACATTCTATAAGTTTTTGTGCGTTTTTTTATCCATCCAGTTTTATGCGTGACAATTATGACTCAATAATATTTACATATTCTAATTATATATTCTTTTATCATAAATTAGTAAAGTTATTTTTATATATAGTTTAAATTTGCATTGAGAAGGACTGAAAACGTTGATCGTAACGTCTTGCACAATAAATTTTTGATTATAATAAATATTTACGCACCTCAATAACTGCGTGGGCTCTTAATTAACTTTTTATTTTTTGTTATTAGACTGATTTTATATATATATCTTTGTTAATATTGACAGTTAAAATTCATTTTCATTTGTTAGATCAAAATGAATTTAATGGAAGAGAACAACACTTAATTTACTTCGAATTTAATATTGGCATTTATATATGGGGAGTCATAAAATCAATATTAGCCGTTATATTCGCCACATTAATACATTCGAGGGAATATACGCTAACTGAAATTTACAGTCACAGGTTTTAACTCCGGAACAACAACAACAAGTAGCAGCACGACTTTTGCAACATCAGCAGCAACAACAAGCCGCCCAACAGCAACAACAACTAAAGCTACAGCAACAGCAGACTCAACAACAGGCTGGACAGCAAGCAATCGTAAATTCTGTTGCATCTCAAATTCATCAATTGACACAAGTAACAGTACCTAGCACGAAAGTTGCGACTAACGTGAGTTTGAGCAATGTAACAACTACAACGGCAGCAGCCACTACGGTGGTTAAGGCTCGACCGGGAGGAGGACAAATGCAGGACGTGAGAACGACGTCAGCAAACGCAAATATCCAGCAAGCAGCTCAACGAACTGCGACGAGTTTAGTGTCTACTGGTCAAACTTCCGTTGGTGCGGCAAGTGGTCAAAAGGGAGGCCTAGTAGGCGTCACGATGGCCACAGCAGCATCGGGAAATAAGATCCCAACGCCAGCACAGGTGCAGTACTATAGGCAGCAGCAGCAACAGCAGCAGGTATTATTGCGGCAGCAGCAGCTTAAAGTATTGCAGGCTCAAGCCGCTAGCGGTCAAAAAGTGTCTGTTGCGGTGTCGGCTACGGCGGCAGCGGCGGCAGCGGCACAACAACGAGCTACCTTGATGAAGCAGGGTATTGGTTCGGTCGGTACTGCGGGTGCCACAACACCACAGACCGCTGTGGGCAAACCAACAATGACTAGAACACTGTCCGAAACTGAAATAGCTGCTGCGTTACTGAAGCGGCAGGCGTTACAGCAGCAAGCGAAAGCGGCTGCTGCTGCAGCGGCCGCACAAGGGCAGGTGAGCTTTAATAAGGAAGAAAAAATAAAGAAAATATAAATGATTAAAATATTCATAAATATTCGAACTAATCAAATTGTACCACACTCATCCTAAAAAGAGAAAAATGAAATATGGAACATAATTTTATATTCTTATCTCGCAAAAATAATCGGCTGCGACTTTGCTGCAGGTACCTACGCCAACAGGACTTACACCGGCACAGATCTTCGCTCAGGCTGGTCTGCAAGTACAACAAGCAGGGACTTCCGCGAGCGGTACTCCGGTAGCGACACTTGTGAAGACGACTAATGTGCCGGGTGTCCGCACCGCGACTCCCCAACAGATCCGACAGCTTGCAATTCATCCGCAGATTATCACGCAGAGAAAACTACCGGCACAGAAAGTCGCGCAGTTAGCTCAAGTCGCAAATAAAGCTGGCGTGCAAACGCAACTGATCGTGCAACCTACTAAATCGCTACCTACAACCATGACGGTACAGCAAATTCATCAAGTGATGAAACATGTGCAGCCTTCGACGATGCAGCAATTTAGTCACGTAAAGAAATAAGATTTCTTTTTAAATTTTGTAAACTGTTTTAATTATTATATTAGGTGTTGGAATTAATTCGTAGCGTTTTTTAATGAAAGAATGTTATTTATTTCACATGAGCATTAAAAAATACATTAATGAAAGTACTTCCCATCACTTGTAAAACGCTACGAATTAATTCCAACACCTAATATTAAAAAAGTTTCTACATAACACTACATTTTTGAATCCTTAGGAATCTTTATCAAATTATTTGTAAACTATAATCATTAAAATTAAAAAAATATTGAATTATTTTTGGAACTAAATTTATAAGGTAAATGCAAAAGAAAAGCACTCTGAGAAAGATCATCGAAGTTAACAAATACTAATGAACGCTTAATTGTACGACTTAATGAATGCTGGTTACTCTATAATTGTAGGTCTCCACGGGACAAACGGTGTCTCAGGCTAGTCAAGTTGTATTAGCTAAATCACCGTTGCAGACTCGTGTCATACCAGTTGCACCCGCATCCCTGAAGCAAACTATTCAAGTGGTGACTGCCAGCAATCCTCAGCTACGACAGTCCACGCCTATCCAAGGAAAACCTGTTACTAGTGCGGTAAGACGAAGTCCTGGTCCAGGTACTAGCCCCAGTACAAGCACAAGTCCGGGTGCGGCAACTTCCAGTTCCACAGTTGCTGCGGGTACCAGTCCTGCCGTAGGTGCTACTTCTGTGTCCGCCTCGAATCTAACTTCTCCATCTGTTCTTGGTCAAGTGAGATTACAAACTTTAACACAGCAAGTACAACAACAGCAGACACAACAGCAACAGCAAACTCAACAGGATACTCAACCAAAATAGTTTTGTTTTATGATTGTATGGCGTATTATCGTTGAAATTGTATTGGGAAATTCAGAAACCAAATTGGTTTCACATGTTAAAAAGTAAAAAAATTATTAATATAAAGGATTAGTTTAGAATATTTTTCTTTAGAATGTACGTATATAGAAAGAACTAATAAATATGAAATATCAATATCACGATATGTGGTTGTTAATAATAATAAAAATACTGATTTAAGTAAAATATTAGAGTATTTTTGATCGAATGTACCGATAAGAAAGGAAATATTATTTAAATATCTTGGATCAATCATTAATAAAATAGAAAATATCAGTTCACTGAAAATAAAATTCGAATATCTTGAATCTAAATAAATAAAAAGCCATTAATTTACCGACAATAAAGTATTCGAGTATTAATAAGATGAAAAAAATTTCTATAAATATTTAGATATATCAATTTCTGATTTTCCCAATTCAGCTTCAATTCGACAGACATTCAAGTTTTTTTCTTTCAATGTCAGAACTCTAGTAAATGAAAATAAAATTTTATTGATATGTAACGCACATTAAAGCATTCCAAGCTTTGCTGCGAATAGTCGTAATTTCAATGATATGATTTGTATGACATAATAGATGACGTTTATTTAACAAATGGACCGATTTATTCAGCGTATTAATATCAATGTATTTTCTATCTATATAAAAAATTAAACTATAATATATTTTGACAATTATGAACTACATTATCAAAATATTAACAAAAATATTGAATTTTCAGCGGAGAGCGTAAAAAACTTGAAGTAAAGATCTTTTAAAAAATAATCTCTCAACTTATAAAAATATTGAGTTATTACTACTCCATTGCAAAACTGTAGAACATATTTTAAATCTATTAGTTTGATCAAATAAAAAAATGAGAAGCGCACTCATAAATTATATGTTATGCATATGATATTAGTACGCGGTATCATATATGAATGACTTGCATGTGACATCGTATCCACAGATGTTGATAACGAGCACAGACAGTTATTTTAACATCCAATTCTGTCGTTAAGTGGAGAAATAGTTTCGACCGAAAAATTTGTCTGATAAAGAACAATACGTGATGATATATTTTTTAATCGCTGAAGGCATGCTGATTGGCATTTATCGTAAAATGGTGTATGATGAAGATCGTGTATCACGGAAAACAAAAGAAATGTCAATTGGTATCTTTAATGGTTAGAAAATATATTATCGCACATTAGTTTTCATCAAATAAATTTTCCAATGGAAGAGCTATATCTCCGCTCAAGGAGTGAACTAGACAGCAAAACAACTTCATTATCAACACCTTCTTTTCAAGGATACGTGACGTCACATATGTAGTCAATATCAAATATACATACACTTTGATATTACGCTACAACTCTCATTACTTTTTCATTTGATTAATCTAATTTAATCTAATTATATTATAAATGCGTTCATAGGACATTAAATATTTTTAGGATTTATTAAGAATAAATATTGAGCTAAATATTTTTAATTTAAACGAGTTATAAAACATTTATATAGCAATAACACAAAAGTTTCTTACTTTAAAAATTATCGAATGCGATATATATAATATACGTTTTTAAAGGAAGGCCTTAAATTCTTCGAATTATTTTACGATTATATATTTAAATAATCTTGTATAAAAAATAGTTTTGTAGATGGATATGTAACTTTATGTAGTTTGTTTTTACGTTTTCATTCAAGTCGAGGCTTTGTCGTTTGTATGTAAGAAATTAAATTCATTATGATCGTAATCGTTTCTCTCATTTAATAAAATCATTCAATTCATTAGAATACATTTGCTTTCGTAAATGTTACAAGCTATCGGATTAGGTGATTCTCTCTGCATTAAATATAAAACTTATTATGATTTTTTGCGAAATAGTGTATCCCAATATGATGCTTGGTTGTACAAATGTATTCTTCCGATTTTTATTATTTTTTTTTATGTATAATAGATTAATAGAAACGAAACGGACTGTTAGCCTCTCTCTCTCTTAAAAAAAAAAAAATACGCTTAACTCATTGATGAACTATATGAGATAACTAATCCAAGTAATATAAATTCAGAAGATGTCTAAAAGACTACTGAGGGTAATTGGATTAGAATACTTCTTACATGGTTAAGAGAAGTTTGAAGGACTAGAACATCTTTTACATACAAGGTGTCCCGAATTTAAATGGCTAAACTTCCGGAGCGTGTAGGATATCAAACTAAGCAAAAACGCATATCTCTAAAGAACTTTTTTTATTGATCCTCTGTTTAGAGGATCTTAAGTGTCTTATTTAAATTTGAGACACCCTGTAGATTGTCCTATAGAAATCTTGTAATTTACAGAATGAAATCCTTAAAAAAAATAACAAAACAATGTAACTTAGAGCGTTTATTTATTAGATTTTATTTGCTTCTTATTTAAAAACTACTGCTCGAACGTTTTGCCAAAAGGAAAAAGTTGCTTCTACCACTGACGAGATACTATTAAAAACAGGCGTTCATGGAATTTCGCGTGCTTATCAAAAAAGATGAATTGTCGATAATGTCATTGTTCTTCAATTATCCCTGAGTCCCATTGATAGTCACGAAAATTTGCCCAGGGCCGACGATCTTCAATAGCATCTCGTCTGTGCTTCTACACAGAATCGCACTACGTATTTTGTAAATTTTAAGGCATCTATGCATATGCGATCAAAACGTCGAGCTAATATTTTAGACGTTTTTTTGGATATCTGAAGAATGTCAAGATTCTTCTACCAATATTCTCTTAAATTGAAAAGACATTGAATGCTTCTTTGATATTTAAAAGAGATCTGACGATTAGATGTGTCGTCATTTAGATGTCTTTTGAAAGAATTATGAAATTGCATCATTGTGTGCAACTCTGTATTTATGACCATAGAGTATACCAAAATCACTCTGAGAACGCGGCGTTTATACTAAGATTGTTACAAAGTCACATGTGTTACAATACAAGGTTTATTATGTTTACGTACGTTTAAGGCGAGCCATTTGAATGCGAATGTCTGAATTCTCCGATGTTACGGCACTCGATTAAGTAAAACAAAATGAAAAAAGAGAAAAAAGCAAATTCTTACACATAAGCGAAGTAAACAATGAAATGTTCTCGATTGATGTTGATTAGGAGAATGTTCTATGTATATCAAACAAATTTCTAAACTCGATTTTGAATTTATTTCATGGGAAAGGTACCATTGTTCTAATAACACTTGTGTTTTCTGCGGCACCCTCTGTATGTACGTATGTACGATATATATGTATATATGTATGTATAATTTATGTATCATAAGTGCTAAAATAAATCTCGTAAAGCGATGAAAGAAACAGCCTGTAACAGTATTTTTCGTTTCAACAAAATTATTAATATCAAATTATTAATTGAAGTTTAATATACAAAATATGGTCCTTTTGCGATATTTGACTTTTTTGTACAAAAAGTTAATGTTATCTTGAAATTTTAATCGGAAATCACATAATTTTTTTTATTTTAATATTTTTTTAATTAAATTACGAAGGATTTAAATAAAGAATTTTTTTATAGGAAATTTTCTGCCTATGAGGATAAAGCCATAAAATTTTTAGTTTGTGACTATCGATATATAGATATATACAATTTTTATCTGTAACATTTTTAATACAATTTTTTTCGAGATTATTGTGGCAATTAAAATGACATGTTGTATATGTATATAAACATACATATAAATTACTCTGTATCGATAGTTACAAACAAACAATTATAAGTATCGACTTCTCATTAACAAAATTTTTTATTAACAAAACTTAATAAAACATCTAAAATGTATATAACGTTTATGTTCACAATTGCGTGTCAACGTAAAAACAAGTTCATCGAAATAAAGAAATGCGCCGACATTATTGACTTTAACATATTAATAATTTGCTATTTTACAATACTACCAGATATGTAAGCTTTTTGATGCGGAATACGTAAGATGTTACATATCAAATGGAGCTACAACAAAAAGTTGCGTTAAACTATTAAAGCGCATTAAATTTTTTAGTTTCAATTATTTTTTTTTAAATATAAATCACATATACAAAGTGTTCGGCAAAAACTATAACGTTTAAAGATATTGTGGTACTCTTAAGCTATGTGATTAGTATTTTGCATTTAGATTATATCTGAACGCGCGAATTTTAAACGGTATGATTCAATAACTTTAAATGCTTATAGTTCCAAAACTATTATCGACATTTTTTGGTACTAGGATTTTCGTCTCAAAATAATCTCAAGGAGTAATAGATTTGTTGACAAATCGATGTCTTTACAATATGACAATTGAATAGCAATTAAATTTGTCAACAACTTGCCGGGAACTTTGAAATCATCACATCCAAATTTGTGCAATTATCGTTATGTTGTCATAATCCAGGATCACACAATGCTGTCATACATATTGCTGACAATGCAAGGTAACTGACGTTTCCTTCCGTTAAACTGCTGTTAACACACACACACACACACACACACATTATCTTGCACAGTATATTGCTTCAATATCAATGCATGTCGAAATCATTGATATATAAATTATCAATATCACAAACGACACGCACATACACACATAAATGGCATTCCAATATTGGTAATCTATATGGAAGAAAAATCTATTTTTACTGATATTTTCTTCAGAATTCGAAGGGGATGCTCTTCTCGCACAAGCGGCGATCTTCTTTGTGGCTGGTCGCAAAACTAGCATCGCTATTATAATTTGCGCTCTCTTCGAATTAGCTAAACAGCCGGAAATGCAGAAAATGCGTGAGGGAGGAGATCCACAAGACAATCCAGGACGCTAATGATGTAACGTACGAAGCAGTCCACAATATGAAGTATTTGCACCAAGTGATAAATGAAACGCTAAGACTTTATAGCCGATCATAGATAGATTTCCTCTTAGCGATTACACAGTGAGACATAGTATACATTATATTTCAGAAATTACTTTCAGAAACAAAAAATTGTTCAGTAAGCGATTTTTTAATCAATTTGATATCAATAGATCTCGGAAATGTCTCGAATTAAACTATGAATTATAATATAATCATAAGAATAAATTGTAATTTCCT